TAAATCAGAGAACCTCCAGTTAAATGAAAAAAAAAAAAAAAAAAAATCACAAAAAGAGGCTTAAACGAGTGAATCCATTGTTCTACGATTGGTTCGTAACCTCTCCATCGCACAAGGCATACAGAGCGAAGCCTCAGGCACCAACCACCTTCAGACAGACCATCAATTGTCCAATTACACGCGGCCGGACTTTCTTCGTGCGGCATACATTTCACGTTTGCCTCCAACTTAAATGTCTCCAACTCGCCATCTATAGTACTATTAATATCCAACCGAATCCATATCATGATACTCTCCAGAGTAAATAAATAATCACCCAGCCAAAATGTCTACAAACACCATAGCCACCGCTCTTTCCCAAAACCCCATCTCCTGCGAACCATGTCGACAGAAGAAATGCAAAGTCAGTATCCACCAATCTCGATGTTAATCTATATAGTATTCTATATGGTATTCTGCTTGGAATTAATCGAGATACTAACTGACTTATTATTTTAGTGTGACCGACTCCTGTATGCGAAAACACTCATTATGTTTCAATATTAGAACTAATAAGCAAGTCCGATCTGCACACAATGTGCCACCACACCATCCTCGCAAAGCAGATGTATATACCCTGAAAGTGGGAAGCGGTGCGTATCTATGCGTTATGCCGTGAACGACACTATTATAGTTCTATGTTAATGAGTACTAGAGGTCTTCCGCAAGGGTACATAACCCATATTGAACATCGTCTCGCCGCCACAGAAGCGGCTCTGTTCTCCGTGTATTCCCAGATACAGGCTGGGAGTCCTGTGCAACCGCAGGGACAATCCCACATACAGGAGGGCACACTTTCTGTTCCTGTTGATGTGGTGGCTGCGTCGAGGGGAAGCCGGACGGAAAATATGGCAGAGTGGCAGGCGTTGCCGTTGAGAGCTGGAGGAGAGTTGGAAAGATGGTGGGGGGTAAAGAAAAGGGCTTGGGGGGTAGAAGTCGAAGATGGGGGCGGCTCTTCTGGTGGCTTTGGGCAAGAGTGTGAGAAGAGAGTGTTGGCTGAGGCTCGGAATGGACCTGACACAGGGGGAAGGGAATCGAACTTAGAATTAGACAGTGGGAAGATGACTAGAGCGGAGAGGTTGGCAAGACTGGAATCGAGGGTATATTTTTGAGCTGCCCTTTTACTCTAAACCGATTGAGTATGTACATGTATATCATATTGGGTGTAGGATGTATCGTCTCTTAGTGTACATGATATTAAACGAACTTCTCAAAAATTACAAGTATGACGACAAATGAGCTGATCAGATACGGCACAACCGTCCGTTCTGGTCGGGAAGACCATCCTGGCTCTTCACCGTCCAGCCCTCACTACCAACTCCCGTCGGGGCATAGAATAATCCGGAGGGGTCGTACTTTTGCTTCAGCTGGTACAGGCGCTCATAGTTCGAGCCGTAAAACGACTGTTGGAAGCCTGGCTCCAGAATGTTCGCTTCCGACATGTAGGCACCCGCCTCGGGGCAGGTCTTGCGCCAGATACCGAGGATGTCATTGGCAAAATGCTCCATTTGGTTGAGGATCTGGGTGTTTGTCGAGTTAGTAGTCCAGCTCGCCGAGGTAATGGCGTGCATGAGCGTCTTGCGGAAGGCTGGGTTAGCTGAGCTCTCCGGGTAGCCCTCTGGCAGTTCGGCCTTCATGTTGAAGGCAAGGAGCGGGTATCCGGCAGTTACGGTAGTCTTGAGCGCGTTGAAAGTCTTGTTCAGAAGACTGGTGTCTTCCCAATTGGCACGGGGAAACAGACGCGAACCGGTCACCATCGTCGAGGAGGCGACAGTCTCGAGAGGAAAGACAGCGTCCCAGGCGTCGTAGAAGTTGTCATGATACGTCGTGTCGGGAGTATATGGGATGCCCAAATGGTCGAGCTCGTCGAACCAGGGCTTCATCAGGGCATTGAACTCAGAAACGGTGTGGTTGACCGCAAAGTAGGGGTTCATGAGGAACGAGAATGAGTTAGTTCCCGTGGACATCACCCAGAAATAGGCGTAGGTGCCAGCGTCAGCGTTGATGGCGAACCGATCCAAGTAGGCGCGGACGCCGGCCCAGAAGGTGTCGACAGTGACGTTGCCACCAGTGGAGAAGTTGAAGGTTGATGTTGTCACGCCAACCTTGGGGTGCACACGAGAGATGATCGAGGTGACAATACCGTAGGTGTCTGAGTTGTTAGTACTTGATTAGCTTAGGATGCAAATGAAAGATTAGGAAATCACTGCGTACTGCCACCACCACCACGGAGAGCCCAGAAGAGATCCGGATCGGTTTCTTCCGTTACAGTCACAAAGTGTCCATTGGCGAGGACAACCTCCAGAGCGAGCACTTGGTCCGCAGCCAAGCCGTAGATACTTGACATGGGCGAGTGGCCACCCCCAAGGACGTAACCGCCCGCGACACCCACAGTCTTGCCTTCACCACCCACCGCAGTGATGCCTAGCTCCTTAGCCTTCACATAGATCTCAGTGGCCTGGACACCGGCACCCATCTTCACAGCAGGACCACTGTACCCGTGGCCTTGATAGTCCTCATAATACTGAATATCCTTAAGGTTATGGGTCCAGATGCCGAGAGCTCCGGCACCGGTAGACTTGCCATTGAAGTCATGGCCAGTATTCTTGACAACCAGGCGGATGCCAGTGTTACGAGCAAAGTTAACAGCCAACTGAATTTGAGCGACCGAGCTTACATTGACGGCATATTTGCTGTAGCCGCCCACGGTGCAGGTACCGGATGCGTTATCAGTGGGCAGACACGTCCGGCCCTCATACAACGGCCACATAATGGAGGCCGGGTCGGCAGCACTGGTCATTTAGTAAGTGAAGGAAGACCAATATACAGGTCATACAAGTACGCACTGGAGGTTGGAATCCGTCCAATTATTTGAGACGACCTTGCACTGGTCGCTGTCGTATTCCGGCCATGATGAATAACAGGATGATGCCAAAGGAACCGTCTCAATCAAAGCACCGCCGAGAAGGCGGTCGAAAAGCGACCAGGTGGAAGTGGACGGCCACTCCGAGTCACCAGGAAAGACCTTGCAGGCGCCACTGTCGCTCAAGCCCAAGTTGGATGAGCTAGAATTGCTACCGAAAGCAAAGAGGCTTGCGCTATTCTGGAGGTTGAGCTTGTTGAGCACACCATCCGTCAGCTGAAGCGTTTCACTATGGAATAGGGGAGCTCCTGCAGCGGTCTTGGAAGAGGAAACTGCAGTTTCAGCAGGTACGGAGGGAGATGGCGCTGCTAGAGAAGGAGTCAAGAGGGCAAAAAATGCAAGGACGATATTGGTGGAGGACAAAGTAGGAGCCATTATGACGGCACCAGCACACGGCTGGGTGGTAGACGAACTATACCTGGGGAGTCTAACGAGAAATTTATGGCGCAAGCGAGAGAGACCTATGGGATATTATACATTTTGCGATGAAGCCTAGATTGTGGGTGTCTAGACTACATTGAGCACCCCCGGCCGAACGGTCGGTGCTAGCGGCGAATGGCTTGAGAAGGGTGTCAGCCTGGCTTAGGGATACAGCCAATAGCTTGTGAATAGCTGTGTCTAGCTTCATTGTTAGATGCTCATATGGAGCCTTCATTATATGAGAAGATGACGGCCGGATAGCCGATGCCCTAAAAGGGTAACTTGATTAAATTATTGTTGGTGAGTGTCGGGCCTTTCTTCTTCCAATAGAAAACCCTAGCAAAGCATTGCCGACAGAGATCGACCCACTTCACTGGAGGAGAAAGGATTCAAGGACCATGCAATCTTGGATACGGTCTCCACTTAGTGTAAAGATTTCGGGTTCCATGGGTGAGAAGCCGAGGAAGTTGAACCTATTCGAAAATGGGACTACTGATGTTGTTTGTCCGTCTTCGAGGTCTCATGGCTCGTCTGTCACTCCACTTATGTGCCTTATCTTCACCGTAGAAGTTCAGACATAGCCTCAGAAAATGATCAGTTAGAAGACCAAGATGTGATCTGTTTGAGTCGCTAATCTGCCACGTGATCCCACAAGCCAGAGGGGGTTAGACAAATGTCTGGAAGTCCGTCTGTTACGAACCCCAGCGTCGGATGGGACTCTGCTCAGTGAAGTAGAATTGATTAAAGAGATCAAGCCCTCCTTTAGGATAATTTGGCTCGAACGAAAGCTTTTTTTCACTTTAAGTTCCTCAATGGTTTAAATGAGTCCATTCGCAGTGCAACGGGTAGGAAGGTAGCCAGCGTTGTAGGTAGGACTAGTTAACGTGCCCAGAAAGAAGTGACGCTGGGATATTAGCTAGTATCCAGAGTTTGGAAGACTTTTGTAGCCTTAGAAGACAGAAATGCACAGCGCAAGTCCCCTACTTTTGCCATGCAGTTGGATAATTGCTGTATGATGATAACTATATCAGACAACTTATCGGGACTGGCCCTTGGCCTGACAGTCTACTGGTTACAGGGAACTTCAAGTACAACTATACTTCTATCGATTATTAGATTGGTCTACTATACATGTCTCGTAGCGCTTTGGTGACAAATCTATTGTACAAGAGATCCGCCAGCTTACCTACCTGAGCACTCTAAACAGACAAAGTAAGATCATTCAACCCCATTCCCATTCAAGATGATATTTTCCAGAATCTCCCGCTCCGGATCCTGGCACACCATGCTCCGGAAACATGACTGATCACGGTAGAGTAACTCCTTCGGACTGCCCGATTCTACGATCATCCCGTTAATCCATGACAAGCACCATATCTGAATCGGCAATGGTCTTCAACCGGTGAGCAATAGCCAGGAAGGTCGTCTGATATTGACCAAGGGCTGAGCGTAAACTTCGCTGAATCAGATCGTCTGTTGTCTGCCTCGTTAGAGCTCGAGACTCGATGTAGGCGGACTGCCTTGTTGAAGATAGCGAGAGATAGCTGTTGTTGCACTCTAAGGCTTAGATTGTTATATGAGATCCAAAACTTTAGAGTGTCTAGCGTTGCGGACGCCATCACAGACAGACCGAGGCCAAGAACTGGGACCCAAAGCATATCGAATTTTGTCCGGACATTCGGGCTTCTAGCAGCTTCAGGATCTGCCACAAGGCTATTTGTGGGCCAAAGCTGAGAAATGAGACCAGGATAGTAATCATCGTCTGGGAGAGCAAGGCACGGCCATGGGACTGAAATATTGACCGCCATAAATCCCAGCTGGATAACAAACTGCGCTTTGCTGCCATTCGTTTCCATACACGGTATGCAGTTTCTTCCCTCGTGCTATTATCCAGCTCCAGTAAATCATCAATCGCTAAGGATTTAGAATGTTCACTCTCACGCAAGACTGGTTCAATCCATGAAAAGCTGACCCAGCCTAGCAGACTGGTGGTGAACTGTCGATCAACTATGATACCCTTATGGAAAACATTCGGACGCCGGGGAATCATCGAGCTGAGGAGACTGAGTGCAACACTAATGGCAGCCTGGGCACCAGTAGGTGTAATGTATACGCTTCTAGCATGGCCTGAGTGGAAGTCGGCATAACCTTGGGCGAGACAGATCAGGAGTGCGACAAGACTACTCGGCCCAATCCTCCAACTAACCGCAAAATGTTCAGTGGGCGAGAAGGGAACGTTAAAAGCGATGCTCTGGATGAAAACACATATCTTCTAAAGCCTGTCAGCTCTTTGAACTCAACACTGTGAGGGAATGTAAACAAATAATGTTATATCAGGGAAAGTCCTTACCCAGATTCCGAACTCCATCCAGTATGCCGCATTTGCGGAGAATTCCATATGAGGTATTGCGAGCCCCATCCGTAGCCCTAAGATGGCCATTGTCACTGTCGCGATAACCAGATTGGCCAGACGAAGGGTTTGTTTTCCAGCTTGTTCGATAGCCTGTTGTGTAGACTTCCCATCCTGGTCTTCATAGACATGCCCCAGCGGTTGTTGATAGGGAGTTGTTATCCATCGGGTCGCCCATGACAATATGTGTTGAAAAACATACACATTGAGAACCAAGACTAACAAGAAGCCTGTTCCAGTCGGTATGAGACGCGCATGTTCCATATTGACCTTATAATTCCGAAGTGTGCGCTACTGGGACCAGGCGAACGAAGGTGTGAGGGTCTTTCATAGTAGAGCCTTTTGCATTTTTATTTTTATTTGTTTTTTATCATTACTCTGTCGCAGAGTCCATGCAAGGAACAGCAATGGGAAAGAATAACGAAGGGAATAACAAAGCAATTAAAAAGCAGATCCCATTATTTACATACTTTTCTAAGCTTAATTGTAGGTATTGCTGAACTTGTGGACCCCTTGTCTCTTGACACTATCAGCCAGCCTCAAGATTATATTCCTCAATGGGTTCAGTTATCCCTTGAAGAATCCCAAAGGCGGTTATCCTTTTTTTGAGTTAAGGTCCACATCGTCTTCCAGTTGTCACACCCCCCGGCGACTTCGATGGAGATGAGATCACTCCAACCTTCCGGTTTGCAAAGTACGTATGACTAGTGAATACAGTTAGAAATTCTGCTCATCTTTCAGAATTCTCATGCATCTGCCCTTACCGTTCACTGCATTGGCAAAGGCTGGGGAGCATACTGAGTTGTCATTACCTCAAGAACTGCATCTTATATCTCACATACAGTTGTTATGAGAGATCATGATATCAGTCTTGTCCTTTCTGGGCTTGAAAAAAAAAAAAAAAGAAAAAAAAAAAGGAGCAGATCAATGAATGTTATCATTCGATGGAGAACTGGTTGGGTCCATAGGTGTGTCGCAACAACAAACATTTCCTAGCCTTTGCCAGAGTAGATGGCCTGGACTTCTGCCCAACCTATCTTTGGCCCGAGGGATCGTATAAGGCTGCATGCGCTCGGCCTAGTTATGCTGATAGCAAGGCATCATCAGCAACTACTGGAGCATCTCCACACTGCTTTGGCGGCGGCGATAGCTGATATTGTGAAGCGGTGGTGGATTGATACAGTTGCTCGAATAACTATTATTCCGTTTTCTTCGGATAATATCTATGATGAGGCTTAGTCTTAGCCTTTTAAATAAAGTTTTAGGAAGTTATATACTTTTGATGAGCTTCAAGAGAATTCTTCTTCCCTTAAATTTAGCTTTTATTAATAGACCTATAAGTGTAAGATCTACCGACTGTGTCTGCTATATTTCTGATTGTACGTATATAGGAGGTACCTTGAATTACTTGAGAGGCTCACTTAACTGCTAATGGGTTATTATTTGCTGATACGTGTTCTAGACTTTATTCTTGGAGAGAAAAGAGGAGCAAAAGAGCGGTGATTAAATATAATGTTAATTTTGGGGGAAGGTTAGTATACTCGGAGACTTGGGAGCTCTCAGGACTGTCAGGTATTTTAAGTCATACTTAAGATATGAAGCCGGGTCTATGTAGTTTGGTTGAATATGAGCTTCTCAGCTATTTATTGAGACCACTTTTAATCGGCTGTTCTAGCCTATTGTATGAGTGGTATGAAATACCGGTAGATAGTATTACTTCTAGAATTCATAGCCCGATGGTTAAATAAGACCGAGGCACCATACAGGAAAATGTGACACCTGCATTAGATGCATTTATGCCTTCATGCCTGTCCCTATCCAAGCCTCAGTGCCTCTGTCTCTCGCTCTTTTCAATCGAGAATTCACATACACTTAGAAATACAACACATTCGCTTTGAGTATTGCGAACAGACCCCACCTGTCCTCGTAAGGCTTCCAACAGTCTCTCTTCTTCTAAGCTATGTTCGGATAGAGAGCGCATTCTACATCTTGATAGCTGGGATTATAAAGAGTACGATTGTGGAGGTGTAGGATTATATATACAAGGAGTGATTGGGATAGGTCAGTATAACTTTATATTTTTCTATATTATATCATTTGGCACGAGGAGTATATATTGAGGTATAGATAGGAGCTGCTATCAAGTACATTAAGTTCATACGTTATTGATTTTGATATTGGAAGGAAGTTGTGATCGAAGCCAGTGCCGAGGGAAGGAAAATCCAATGAGGGGTTGGGCTGCGGGGTTTTGACAGAACTCAAATGCTTATAAATTTTAATATGAGTCGCCAGAGCTCTCCACCTTTCTTTCCCTTCAGTATTCATTTATCTCTGTGTAGCTACAGAATCGACAGGGTTCACCGTACAGACATAGGGATTTCATCATGGCGACACAGTATAAATTGCCGTTCGAGGTATGGAAATCCTCTCGTCGCGATCGGATAACAACTAATGCACGGCTACTGATAGTTGAACGATCCGAGTCTGCTCCACTTTGACTCCTTCGTCGGGAACAGCTGGGTTCAGTCGAAGAGTGGAAAACGCTTTGAGGTCATCGGTACAGTACCTGATCACAAGCCTACGTAGCTACGCGACTAGAGCTATTAACCATCTATCCCTGTGAAGACCCCGGAACCGACATTGCATGGGCCAGTTGTCCAACCAACAGCGCCGAGGACGTTCCATCCGCGGTAGAAACCGCGCACGCCGCTTTCGAGCAATACAAGAAAAGCAACCCCCGCCAGCGAGCGCAATGGCTCCTGAAATGGGACGCGCTCATCCGGGAAGCCAGGCCCGACCTCGCCAAGATCCTCACGCACGAGACGGGTAAGCCGCTGGCCGAGTCCTACGGAGAAATCGACTACGCGACCGGTTTCACCTGGTGGTTCGCCGGTGAAGCCGAGCGCATCCATGGCAGCATCAGCGTCCCCTCGGCGCCGAATCGCCGGGTGTTCACGGTCAAGCAGCCCATTGGTGTGGCGGCCGCCTTAGTGCCCTGGAACTTCCCCATCGCGATGGTCCTGCGCAAGGCCGGTGCGGCGTTCGCGGCAGGTTGCACGATGATCGTGAAGCCGAGTCCCGAGACACCGCTGTCAGCGCTGGTGTTGGCGCATCTCGCGCAGAAAGCGGGATTCCCGGCGGGCGTGTTTAATGTGTTGACGACGGACCTGGAGAATACGCCGCCGTTGAGTGAGGCGTTGTGTAAGCATCCATTGGTGAAGAAGGTGACGTTCACAGGCTCTACGCGGGTCGGGAAATTGATTGCTTCGCACTGTGCGCATGGACTGAAGAAGTTGACGTTAGAGCTGGGCGGGAACTGTCCGTTCCTGGTGTTTGATGATGCTAATCTGGACCAGGCATTGGATCAGCTCATGGCATTGAAGTGGCGGCATGCGGGACAGGCGTGTATCACCGCCAACCGAGTATATGTCCAGGCGGGCATCTATGATCGCTTTGCGCAGTTGCTCAAGGACCGTACGCAGAAGTTGGTCGTGGGTCATGGTGCCAAAGAGGACACGACAATGGGCCCCGTGACCACTCCGCGGAGCATTGACAAGGCGCTCAGCCAGGTCGACGATGCCCGTCGACTTGGGGCGGACGTGATTCTAGGAGGGAATAAGGTCTCGGGTACCAAGGGGTATTTCTTTGAGCCCACGATCCTGACGGGCATGACCAAGGACATGTTGGTGTCCCGGGAGGAGACCTTTGCGCCTATCGCTGCCCTCTATAAATTTGAAACGGAGGAAGAGGCAGTGCAGCTGGCCAATGACACGAGCATGGGACTGGCGAGTTACGCGTTCACTAAGAATATTGATCGTATGTGGAGGTTACTAGAGAACCTAGACGCCGGCATGATCGGGATGAATACGGGTAACTCCTCAGCTGCGGAGTCTCCATTCGGAGGCATCAAGGAGTCCGGGTATGGCAAGGAAAGTGGGAAGGAGGTTGCCGTGAATGAGTATCTGGTGACGAAGACGGGAACTCTTACTATTGAGGGACAGTATTAGTAGGCATAACACAGGGGGATTATGCGTGCAATGCAGGTTAGGTGTCCTTTTGGGTCTGATTCAACAAATTGATTAACTGCTCTAGGTAGTCTAATCGAGAAAAATGTCATGCAGTCAGGACGGAGTAAATTATAATCAATCGTAGTGAAAGGCACGGACCTCAGGCATAAATTATGATTATATGTTTGTCGGAGTCCAGCTCCGAAAAGGCACTAATTACCTGATAGAGTCTAGCGGATCCGAGGAGCATCTAAGTTTAGTTAGTGTGATCCAACTGGGCAAAAAAGTCGGCACTTAACCGCTTTGGAAGTTGCCGCTGCTCGTAGAGATTGCCGCATGTGGTATAGTGCACGAGCTATCCAGTGATCATCGATGGATTTGGTTTGATCTTCTTTTTCATCCACTCCCCTGCTTTTTCTATCCTTCCTCTCTCAATGATGGATTCCTGATTCCACACGAAACTCACGGTCGTCGAGTCTTCCACCTTGGGATTGGCATGATTTGTGTCTGCCCCTGTGACTGTGACAGGAAGAATGTCCTGCCAATCATGCCAGGACTTTGATCTCTCGTCCCTCCGGTGCTGAACTAAGCATTCATTCTATTCTTTCTTTTGAGGTAACATCTCCGATATTGTGACATCGCGCCTTTATGGTCCTGGTCAATTTCGACCATCTCGACGACCTTTGATCGACACTCGGAGACTGACGAATTACCTATTTGGGTAAGCATCTACTGCTTTTTTGATTTTCTATTTTTGTTCGATTTTTGATTTGATTTTTTTTTTTTCTCGTTCCTGGTGCTATCGATCCTACCCTGGGTTGGGTCGTTTATATACTCCTCGGTCTTCTGATCGGTCGACTTCTCTGCCTGTCATACAACTTTTCAAACTTACTCTGTGATGAACATACTATCATTTATCTCATAATTACGACAATTTTCCTCTAAATTCTACCTAATCATAATAATCAATCTGTCCTTAATCAACCATGGATCTTACTTCCCTGCAATCCGTGATTCAAACACACCCCCTCATTGATAACCATGCCCATAACCTCTTGAAGCGTGACGAGGCCTGCAACTATGCCAAGTATCCCTTTGAACAGATCACTTCAGAAGCTCAAGGATCCGCCCTGCGCAATGCCCCTTCGACATTACCATTACACCGCGCCGCCACACAGCTCGCCGCGCTGTACCGCTGTGCCTCCTCCGACTGGGACCATGTCAAGGCGGCACGCGACGCATGGGTGCAGCGCGATTACGATGGTCTGATTCGCGAGTGTCTGCAGGGCACGCATACGTTGCTTCTCGACGATCTCCTCACCGACCAAGACATTGAATCCTATGAATGGCATGACCGCTTCACCACATCGCAGACTAAACGGATTGTGCGGATCGAGACCTTGGCAGCTGAAACGATTTCCACCCTGATGCGTGGTGACACCCGGCCTCAGGAAGGTGACGTCTCGGTGCTGCGGGAGCGGTGGGAGCAGTTCCGTGAGGGCTTTAGACAACGTATCGCCGAGGCGATCGCCGACCCCGCAGTGGTGGGGTTCAAATCGGTGATTTGCTACCGAACTGGGCTTAACGTCCAGCCTACCGAGGACGGCGATGATACCCTCCTGCTCGAGTCATTCGCGCGTACGGTTGGCCAAGGACAGGGGTCTGCATACCGGGTAGAGGACAAGCGGCTGAATGACTGGGTTGTCCGTCAGACGCTCAATCTCCTGCAGTCCGCTAAGGCCGCCAGCGCATCGGCCCCCAACAAACCGTTGCAGTTGCACACTGGACTGGGCGATAACGACATCGACCTAGTGCTCGCCAACCCGGCCCACCTGCAATCATTAATCGCGCAGTACCCGGAAGTAGATTTCGTATTGCTGCACTCTTCGTATCCGTACACACGGGAAGCCGGATATCTGGCCTGTGTATACCCCAATGTCTACCTGGACCTGGGAGAGGTTTTCCCCATGGTAAGCCGCGATGCACAGGAGTCCATTCTGCGCGAAAGTCTGGACATCGTGCCCACCACGCGTTTGCTGTGGAGTACCGACGGTCATTTTTTCCCGGAAACCTTCTACTTGGCCAACAAGCAGTTCCGCGATGTGATGGAGAAGGTCTTCGTCGATTATGTTCACCACGGCGATTTCACTGTCGACCAGGCGAAACAGGCGGCCGCTGACATCCTCTTCCACAATTCCAACCGTGCGTACAGCTTGAATGAGAAGCTCGCTTACGAGGCACCGGTTTCGGCAAACGTCGTGTCCGCCTCGTCGACCGCTACTCTCGATGCATTCATGCGGGGTAATCCCGATGTCAAGTATATCTGGATGCAATTCATTGACTACACCAATACAACCCGAGTTCGGATGTTCCCCGTCGCAGAGTTTGCCAAGATCGTGCGCAAGCAACGTCGGGTTGGCATTTGCCTCTGCACCCAACTGATGCTGCAAGATGACAGTATTGCGCCGGAAGGGTCGGTCACGGGCCAGTTCTACATGGAGCCGGACCTGTCCAGCCTTCGCCGCAATATCGGAATCGACTCGAAGAGTGCCACCGTGATGACCTACTGGAAGACGGAAGAAGGCGCCCCACTGCCTGGCTGTCCTCGGACAACCTTGCAACGGGTCACGAACAACTTGCGCGAGCACGGTATTGAGGTCACTTGCGGCTTTGAGATCGAAGTCATCCTCCTCAAGCCCACCACCAACGACGCGGGCGAGACCGACTATGTTCCCGCAGTCCGGAACCACTCCTGGTCGCAAATGACCAGCGACACCCGGAAGATGGTTCCCTTACTGGAGGAGATTGTGGAGGCCCTCGCGTCCATTGGCATCCATCTAGAGCAATTCCACGCCGAGTCCGCCCCGGGCCAATTTGAGTTCATCCTGCCCCCCGGCTCACCCATCGCCGCGGTAGACACCCTGATCAAAGCCCGCCAAGTCGTCACCTGTGTGGCCGAGCAGCACGGCCTCCGCGCTACGCTCCACCCCCGTCCGCTCCCCCACGCTGCGGGCTCGGCGTCTCACGCTCACGTCTCCATCGCGCCCCCTACCCACGAAGACGCCTTCCTCGCCGGTGTTATGCGCCACTACCCAGCCTTGGCGGCTTTCACTCTGTCGCAGGACGTCAGTTACGACCGCGTTAAATCAGGTCTCTGGGCCGGCAGCGAATGGGTCACATGGGGCACGCAGAACCGTGAAACCCCGATCCGCAAGATCTCTCCAGGCCACTGGGAGATCAAGACGCTTGACGGACTGGCCAACATGTACTTCGCCATCGCCGCCTTCCTCTCCGCCGGGTATCTAGGCGTGAAGGAGAACCTCCCTCTCACCGTCAAGGACTGTATCCGTAAGTTCACCCCCAACGTACAGTACCCCCCAAACTCAAGATCAAATAAATTAACAAAAACAAAACAGACGACGCAGCCAAACTACCCCAAGCCGAGCGCGAAGCCCTAGGCATCACAACCCAACTCCCTAAATCTCTCACCCAAAGTCTAGACGCCCTGGAGGCAGACTCCGCTTTGCAGAGCATCATCGGCGAGACCGTCGTCAACAACTACACCAGCGTCAAGCGCATCGAAAGTAAACGTTTACTCGCTATGGACGAAACTACTAGAAGAACATGGCTTCTTGAGCGTTATTAGCTTTGATTCATTCATATATATGTCTTGCCTTTTTTTTTTTTTTTTTTTTTGAATACCTTCGTCTGATGACATGGCATATCTGCATATGTCCTATGATATCCTGGATAGATTATTTAATTTCTACGCTTCATGAATGATACCTTGGTTTCTGTTGAGATATTCTATTGTAACACTGGATACTGGAGCCCTGCCGTTAGAATTGTATATTTGCTAAGACAAGATTTGGTTTAGATGGCGTTAGATGTTTTTATGATCTTGAGAATCGGTATTGATTTCTTGGGATGTTAGTGAAAGGGGGTATATATTTATTTGATCTACGATCAAATTTTGTGCTCTAAATTGCTTCGACATACCTCCTTGATGGCGAATGCGGCGTTAAGACGAAACAGACAAAAAATATATATATTCTAAAATTTTATATGAAAATATATGCCAGGACAGGACGAAGAATAAAACACCGCTCCAAGATGCCTACAAAAACGAATACCAACTGCGCAAGAACGTATGATTCGTGTATTATCATCATGCAAGGGTATCACTCGTGACAGATCTAAGAACATATCCACATCCAATGAAATAATCAAAAACAATCAAGCAGCCGCCCATGATAGATGCAAAACAAATGCAACGCATGATTTCAATCCAAACTCGGCAGTCTCCGCCGGTCTAAGTAAATCATGATGACAAACAACGGTCTGCTAGGCCTTTGTCTGCCCATTCTTCCAGGAGTCGCGAGACCTCCTTGAAAGACACTGGTTTTGTGAGGAACAGATCGACGCCGGAAGTAAGGGCTTCCGACTCATCGCGAGAGCTGCTGAGCCCAGTCAGGGCGATGATCGTCGCAGGAGTACAACAGTCGCGTTCTTTCTCAATGGCTCGGATAGCCCTCGTAGCTTCAAAGCCGTTCATGACGGGCATCGAGATATCTATTCGTTTTGGTTAGAATTTGTCTAATTGCCCAACCAAGGAAAATGGTAATTAACGGGCAAACACAACTTACCCATAAAAATCAGGTCATAGCCTTGTTGAAGCCTTTCAACAGCATCAACTGCTACTTTACCGTTTTCAGCAGAGTCCAGCGTAGCCAGGTTGCGTTTTTTCATGAAAGTCAGCATGAGATTGAGGTTGATAGAGTTGTCGTCCACGACCAGGACACGTGCGAGGCGCTGGGGCTTGGGATCGAGGTCCTTGATTTTGGGCGGCGATGGATCCCGTACTGACGAAGAAGGAGACATTATGGTAGGAAGGACTTCTGGAATTTCACTGTGTGTGGGGGAATGTGCTGATTCAAGGGACGATGATGCGCCCGAACTGCTCGCGGCGCCTGGTGTTAAATCTGCCACATCATCGGAGAACTCGGACTCAAAGCCGCCTTTGCCGTCGGGTACGAACTTGGGACGTTCTGGGAGGACAATGGACTTCGTGGTCGGGATGCTGTCAGCGTGTGAATCAAAACACTTCCGGATGCTTCGGGCAAGTTTGTGTGGGCCGCATGGCGGACGAATAATATTGACTATGCTGGCGAGAGAAGAGCACTCTTTTAGCTTGGTTGCTCGGTCGACAGATTTGTCACAAAGAAGGACAAGAGCTGGAACTCTGGTTACAAACTGCTTCTTCAGATCCGCAGCTGAAGTGGCTCCATCGGCAAGAACGATGTCAACAGGGGCCCGAGACGACGAGGAGACCAGCTCGAGGCCGTACCACTCGGTCAGATAACAACTGATAATAGACCACCAAGGATGGCCTGCTATCTCATCTGGCTCCACACCGGCGATGGCAACCCGTCGACCGGCATGGTGATCTCGTAAAAGGCGGCTCTCGGTGGGGCTGTCCTTTTCCTTTACGGATGGTGACCGCGGGGTTAGCGGGTCCTCGGCGATATCCTCGACATCCGGTCGCAAGAGAGGCAGGGTGACCTTTACAGTGGTCCCCTCACCAGGCGTGCTATTCACATCGATGCGACCATTCAACGATTTCACAAGACTCCGGACAATAGATAGCCCTAGACCAGTTCCCACGGCCAACGTATCCTCCTGTGCGAACGGAGTGTACAGGCGCCCGCGCAAAAACTCCTCCGAAATTCCTTTTCCGGTATCCGAAACAACAAGGGTCACCAACTCTTCTATGCCTGACCGGCGACAACGACCCTCAGCCTCGGTCACCTCCAGTCGCACAGACACCCGACCTGAATCTGTATATTTCATGGCGTTACCGAACACATTCATGATAATGCGCCGCAGAGCTCCTGGTTGGGTCTGATAGACCCAATCGTTCTGTGCGATGTTCACGACGACATCCACTTCAGGCCGGGGTTGGGAGAGGCTGCTTTTGTCGCTTGAGTCCTCCGTCGGCGAAACCACAACAGGCTGGCCGGATGAGATAGTGGACTTCTGGCCGTACGCATGCCCCAGGCACACGCCTTCCACCACTTCCTCTGTCAAAAGGGCTAGGTCTGTCGATACATACGTGTCCAAATGGGCTGAGAGCCGATCGAGCGCCCGGTAGTCGGATGGTACTGTTTTGTCCCGCGTGATATGGCGCCATGACTTCTCCAAAGAGACAATCTTACTATAATCTAGGACCTGGTTCATCGTGTCCAGTAAGGTCCGGCCGCATGCATCGATGGTTTCCAGGAGCGAACCCTGAAAGTCATCCAGTTTTGTCCCGCCCAGAAACTCAGCCGCTGCCAAGATACCATGCAGGGGACTGCGTAATTCATGCCTGTTTTAAGAAATACCGATCAATAGCCGACCTACGAGACTAAAGATATTGTGGATGTACTTACGAAATACTGCCGATGAAGTCCCCCTTCTGACGGTCAGAAATAAGCGATTCGACCCGGCTGTACTCTGCCATGATCGAAGATCCAAAGCCAAGGACAGAGCTCAGCTCCACGGACGAGTTGAAGACGCGGGTTTCGATCGTATTCCAACAAAAGCAACCAGCAAACCATTGGGAATTGGCGGCGTTCCATAAAGGCACGAAGAGAACCTGGGTTGCGTTGGGGAAGTAGAGGTTCAGCATGGAGTTTTCCAGAGACTTCCACTTCTTTCCCGTACCCCTGCCTAATTCGGGGCCCTTGGTGGCTCGAGAACGACTCCGGGAAGGCTTTTCGTCGTCGGAGCTGGACACCAACCCATCTCGGTGGAAGGACCACAGCTTTCCTTTCGAATAGCGCCGGAGCAGCTGATGCAGGAAACTGCTATCGAAATTCGATGCTGGGTAGAGATTGGAGCTACCTGGTCCCGGCGCGAACGGATCGTCGTTTGTTGAGATAGCCAATACGGGCGCCGGCGAGCTGTTTTCCGCGGAACAGTCGCTGCCACTCTCCATATCGAGCATTGGCGTATTACTTGCCTCCAAGAAAATGACACCGCCGTCACCACCGAGCTCAAGACTCTCACGCAGCAAATTTGCCGCCCGCTTAAAGGCCCAGGAGTTACCATGGGCTTCCTCCAGCCGCTGATTCCCCCGATTACCCGACCACCAATCCGGAAGTGGCGACAAGCCGGAATCGCCTCGACCCTCTGACATGGAACTGATCGAACGGGCATCACTGCTCTGGGATCGCCGCGAAGGGAGCTCGAAACTGTTGAGTGAACCCACCGAGAGGTGATTCGCCCTCAGATTAGAAGATTGGGGCGTGCCCGGTACCGCGGCGAAGCTTCCCGCATACGAAGGATGTGATGTATCCACAAGGCTGGAACTACCCTCCACAAAACAGCTGAGACCCCGAGATAGCCGAGTTGCACGTCTCCCTTCAGAAGCTTGACGGCTCACCCGCAAATAGTCCATGATAAGCATACTCAAGGTTTTCATCGTCTCCTTGTCGGTGTCGGTCAGCCCATCATGGGGTTTAGTATCTAGAACAAAGAGACAGCCAATATTGATATTGGTCTCCGTTGTCAAAGGTGTTCCTGCGTAGAATCGAAAGTTGGGCTTCTCGCGCACAAAGGAAAGGCTCTTGTATTCGTCATGTTGGCTTAGATCGTCAATGACCAAAAACTTGCACTGGCCCTCCTCTCTTTTCGAAGGACCGAGGGCTACTGTAGCCTACACGAGAAACGGTCTAATTAGTGAATGAAAAAAAAGTGTTCCCAGCCAATGAGACATACCGCACACATCTTCCATGTCTCGGCTGAAATGGTGCTACAGCCATTCCAGATCCCCTCTCCTGGCACATCATGCTTGCTTGGTGTAGTGGACGACCGCGTTGACTGTGCGAGGATGAATTGTGAGTTGCGATCCGAGACACTAGACAGCACAATGATTAACAACGGCAGCTCAGTCAAGGAAGGAAAAAGTCGCACCTACCTAATCAGCACACGCTCGACATCAAGGCGCAACGCTCCCAGCTGCGCGAAGGATGTCAACGTCGTATTAGGATTGCCCAGGACCAGGGCCTCCTCGGGCACGACCGTAGATGCTGCGCCGACGGGGCACGGTAACGGTGGTTGCGAAGAGATCGACGGCGACGGAGGAGTAGCGAGAGACGAATCCTGGATTGGAGCCGAGGCCAAGAAAGGCGAGCTATTGCTGCTGGAGGCCCGGTTTCCACTGAGGACTCGTTCCGGTTGAAAGTAGCGATAGAGCTCACGAACTCGGCGGCCGGTATTGTGGTCATCGCTCCTGTGGTTGGACTCCATGGTTGCCGGGAACGAGATAACGGCCGGAACGAGAGGGGTGAAAACACGTAAATAGGTTTAATCGTTTAATTGCTTCAGTCGCGCTCCATCGTCAGTCCCTTCCCTTAGGACGGAACTGTTGTCGGTTGAATTGGGTGTGGCGCAAGAATAGAGCCTAAAAGACTGAAGACCGTGAGGATGGGAGGGGAAAAGGCGGAAAGAACTAGAAGGAAAAAAAAAAAAAAAAAAAGTGTAAACAAGGGCTGAAACCGGGGGTCTGAAATGAGTTTTATGAATAATGTCCCAGACAGGAAACCGGTTTAATATGCAGGCCGCGGCATGTGCCAAGAGGCGGGCAGTAGATGGAGCAAGCGTCGTGGCTTGAGGGTACAATCCCACGGTAAGGGAGCAAAGACTTCCAAAAGGAAGGGGCGCCTGTTGCCTCATATTGAAAGATTTACTGGGTCAGTGGCGATGGACGATCGCACAAATGACAAGGGCCAGCCAGACAAGGCGACATCATCCACTTTTGGGATGCCAAATTATATGGCAATCCGAGCATGATGTCGGTTTGGTTCCCCACGACGCCGGCTGATTGGAGGTACCTGTAAGCGACCATTGGCACGGTAAGGGGGAAGAAAACTCAAGACCCATGCGATCTCAGATGGCGTAGACCCGGAATTGTAGTCACGATTATGATGATTGGGACTCAGGCAGGGCAGTGGAGGAAGATGATGAAACGACATCCGACCAACATGTTTTCTCACTGGATCACCTGCAGGGAGCCACTAGGCTGCGTCGGGTAAGAGTGGAGCCTGCAGTTCCAGGCCACCCTGTTTTCGGTCCAAAATGCCACCACTGAACGGCCAGATCGACGCGTTGGCAGCTTTAGTCCTTCCGCTCTCTCGGAGAGGTCCGCGCCTTTATTATTAAAGGTCTGTCATGCATGCACGATTCAATTTAATTCAATCGAGCTTGCCAATCCCACTGGCTGATGTTTTTGCCGTTGATTGATCAACTGTGATCAGTCCCCGTTTAGTCCCTCGCTTGGCTTCGTTCTTGTTTGACTCCCTCGAGTCCCTCTCGATCGCTGCCTCAGGCGGGGCACCTGTCATGGGTCCTGACTAAGCGTTCTAGAATCCCAATGATGCGCGGCGGTGTCCATGGTTCAGTCAGTCCATTACGTCGTCCAATCAACTAGGTTGATTCTACGGAATTACTAAGTAAACGCATCGTAGATCATGTGAGTTGCCCAAGACAGTTTCAAACAGATAAAGTTGATATCACTCTATACTATATATATACTAGCTCGACATGTATAATGCACATCATCATGACGACTCAGGGACGTAACAATGCATATGTACTTGAACGTCCATGACCGATATATGTCCAATCATAACTCATCAAAAATTGCGCTCGCAGTCTCGAAAGCAGTGTCTACCATTTCTCCATCAGGCGTTTCCGGACGGTCCACATCCGAAGCCGCTTTCCATAAATGTACATGGGGATCGTAAATAGAAGGCATCCCAATTGAATCCCACCCAGGGCTAGGAACACGGTCTGAGAGCCTTGCGCGTTTAGCCAATCGACAATGAATAACGAAAAGATCAGCCCGTGGAATACATCTGGAAACGGTTGTTAGTTGCCAGAACCCAAGGGAAAGATAACATGGAATCATTTTGTAAGGGAACTCACTCTTGCTCCAATTCAGAGTCACCAATGCTTCGCCTGCGTATTGGCGATAGCTGTCGACACAGAACGTGATGGACGTCGTGCTACCCAGGCAGCATCCAAACGAAACCACACCGAAAAAGACTGTGGGCACGATCCACGCATTTCGCTCCTCCGCGCTCCATCCAAATCCCATCAGACCTATCGTCGTCGATATGGCGATGGGGATCGCCATCACCAGCCGAAATTCTGGTTCATAGACGCCACCGTTACGTCGGGTCATGTATCGGACAATCACATCGGATACCTTCCCGGCCACAGCGGTTCCCAGCAAGCCTCCTATAAACGGCGAGATGTACACGAGTCCCACTTGCAAGGCCGTGAAGTTGTAGGAGTCCCGCGTTTCGTAGATTTTTGCGACGGACTCTGACAGAACAATCAACCATCCGACCGAGAGCGCGTAAACAACTGCCGACCACAGCACGGCTGGGTAGGCAAATAGGATAAACGGGCGCGCGGCCACTCGCAGCCAATTGTCATGGGAGATTCGACCGTTCCAAACCCGGAGATAGTGTAAATATGGCATCTGCGGTCGCTCCCGCAGCCAATTCGTGTAGTGCATGGATCCATTCATTGGTGCGCTAGGATCAAGCGAATCGCTGCGGGCTGGAGATAAGGCGGCGGGGCGGCCAACTCCCAAATCGGCTGGCCGCTCGGGGCCAGGAGCGGCAGGAGTAGGAGGCTGTAGAAACCCGTCGGCCTTTTCCGGATCGGAGTTGTGTGCGAAGTGTACATGGTCCTCGCCTGGGACATCCGGCGCTAGTGAGGCACGGTCATGGTCCGCCGCCGCCTCCTTTTCGTCGGGCGAATGACTTTCCGCGTCAGGGTTCTCTACGAATCCGACGTGGCCCTTCTTGGACTTCTTGGGTGGCGCGGATTCGGTGTCAGCCTCCGGGGCATGATCTTCGAGTCGTTGTACATGCGTCGGGCGCCCGCGAATGCCATGAGAGACCAGGTCTGACACGCTCCGATATAAATGTGGACGCTTGCGCGCGCGAGGGCGCGGCGTACGATCCCAAAATGTTTCCGGGACAAAGAAAAACAACAGGACCAGGCAAGCTCCCACCACAATGGAGACAATCCAGAACACCCAACGCCAGCCCAAGTTGCCGATAATGGCAGCACTCACCAAAGGGATTAAATTCTTCCCTCCCAAGAGGAGAAGGGTATAAATCCCAACTCGATAGGCCCGTTCGTGTAGAAAGTAAATCTCGGCAATGGTCGCAGAGGGTAGACACTCCACCGGGCTTACTGCGATGCCTTGGAAAACGCGGGCAACGATAAGGCTGGGGTAGTTCGGAGATAGGGCACACCAGACGCCTGAGATAACGAAAAGGGTAGCACCGAGAAGGTAGACCGGCCTTTTTCCGTACAAAATCGCGGTGGGCGACATGATGACGGATCCCACTCCGAGACCCAACATATACAGACCTGTGGTGTAGGCCACCTTTTGCGTGGACACGTCATAAGTATCCGCGACCTGCGTGAAACCAGCGGCCAGGATCGGTGTCATTCCACCTCCCATCAGACAATAAAATCCCAGCGATAACAATGCGGCATCTCGACGCCAGACCGGCCAGTTTAACGGGTCGTTCATCGAATCTTCAGGCTGGGGGTCTAAGACGATCTGTCCATCCGCGGTCTTCTTCTTCGACGGCCGAGCTTTTGCTGAGGTGCGCGAAGATGAACGCGACGGGGGATATGGAGATGGGAGGGATGAGCGGGATGTCCGCTGGGGCTGGTGCCTTAGCCCTAATGGCTCATTGCGGTTTGACGATAGCAGAAGAACCGTTCCTAGAGCCTCTGTCAGTGGGTTTCTCAAGCTGCCGAGATGCGTTGATAAGAGAACATACCAGGTACTTCATCAGTTTGCTTGTCACTGAGAATCCCCAAGGTCGACTTGGAGCGATAGTTAATGTTGTCTTGATTGACCTCCGGGTTGTTGGCAGACGAAGGCTTCAATACTCTTTTCCACCAGGGACCTGAGGACGGTCTTTGGGAACTAGCCTCTGGGTGTTCACCAGGGGAGGCCGTTGCTTCTGTAGCCATAATTATTGCCGCAACACAAATGTCTAAATGCTCGTGATAAATTAAAACGTATCAGTAGGACCAGCAACTGATTTAATGCTCTGATCTGCCAAGGATATCCCGGTATCAGGGTCACGGAATCAGGCAGGAAGAAGCCTGGCTGTAGGGGGTCGAGATTGCGGCTCTGATGTCGTACAGTGTTTTGAACCCGTGATACAATAGATGAAAAATTCCCAAAGGGCAAAAAGAGTGTCTAACTCGAGGACATGCGACACTCCCTCCTTTTTCTCAGGTCAGGGAATTCGGTCACGACCCGCGAGATAAGACCTCAATCGATGACTCTGCAGGGATAACGCCACCCCATAGCTGAGAAAGAAAAAGAACAAAGGAACTCCGGGGCAGTGGGAAAATGATGAAGGATTAAATAGAGTCGGTGAGCCGTCACGCGCCAGTGAAGACGGCGAAACCAAGGAGGAGTATGGAGTAATTAAAATCTAATCAGAACAAAAAATAAGCGACAGATAATCTATGTAGTGCCATATCAGTTCTCTCCGGGAAGGCGGTGGGCACGGGAATGGTACCTCAACGGTACTCGTGGGTCCGCCCGTCACTCGCTGGTTGGGCGAAGTACTTTGGAGGTACAGAGTAGTAGAGAGCTAGCAGGACAATCTCCGTTTAAACTCGAGATCTGCACACCGTACAGGATGGAGTACAGGCGATGCTGTAGGAATATCATGCGGGAAGCATTTCTGGTCTCGGCTGGCGTAATTCCGAAACATTCTCTTTCCACCATTGGGCGTGGTTCAGCCAGTCAAAGGCTTACCATTTATGGGGAAGAAGGCAAAAAAACCCATGCGCACTGCAAACGCCGGATCATTGGGTTGGGAGGGGGGGACATGTGGGCGTCGTCCCAAGGAAGCTGATGCATTATTACTAGTTTTATGGCTAACCTTCTTTAATGAGGTGAGGCTGGCTAACGTTACTTCTTTTTCTTTTCTTTTTTTGTTTTTCCTTTTTTTTTCCTTTTTTCTTTTTTCTTTCCTTTCTTTTTCTTTCCTTTTTTTTTTTTTTTTAATACAATGTCTAACTCATATAACAGTCGGCAAAACGCTCGCATATACATCTATCAAATTCATCAACAGCAAAGGCGAAATTTTTGGCACTTATTTTTGTTGTTCTCTGAAGAAAGAATAAAATCAAAAGGTACAAAACAGAACATCAAATATAATCAAGGGTCTGTATATGGGAAACCAACTAGTAAGGCCTTCACTGGGACCGTCGTTTAATATGCCTCGAGTTTGTGTTCGGCGCGGGCAACTCACGGTTACAACCCCACATAACGCATGCATCCCACAGACAAACTTCGACCGAAAAGTAGGGCTAAAGAGATCATCGGGCTGCCATTGGCATTGCCTCGAGTCATATGATTTTCCCCCATCCTGGTAGATCTTGAGCTAATTTACCAAATTCCGTCATCTTGCAGCACCATATTTCGCATGGTGGGGGAGAAGCGGTCTATGATTAGGGGGATCACGAAAAGCGAAGGAAGTAACTAGTAGGAGAATTCTTATCGTGAGCCAACGCCTAAAACTTTTCCAACATCGTTTTTCTTGACTTAGTGCTCCAAACGCCATAAGGTATCAAGACTATGTCGTCATCGCACAAGTGATATTCGGACAATACGAATTCCTCTTACTGTTAGTATGCAAAGAGGCTCCACCCGACAATGTCCACCTGAACAGCAGATCCCGTGACATGGCACCATCATCTGCTATGGGTTCGTGCTCATCCTCGTGGTAACGAAAACATTCGACCCAGAACGCTACCTAGCAAGATAATGCGATGAATTGTGGGCGATATGATTAGTACTAACACCTCGGAAGCGGAGTGGACTTGAGAAAGACGATGTACTAGCATGTGTTTGGTAATATATATCTTCAACGGATACAATTATCGCAAACATATATATATTCCTAGTACCTCTCTGGCAAGCAACTAACGTCGAATATTAGTTGCACGCATTAACTTTTCAAGGCTGATGGTATCAATACTACGAAGTTCTCGGTGGTCAAGGAGCGTCTCTTATCGGGCCGGTGAATACTTTTCTCACCATTTAGGAAGAAAGTCGCCATTTCCCAGTAAATCAAGTCAGCAACAACATCTAGATTGGATGCAGTACAGTGTTCGAGAGGTTCTAATCTATATGCGATAGCACTTGGCTTGCTAAGAGGATCTATCTAGTTAATAAGAGATGCCTCTTTCTCGGTATGCCTCGATAAACACCTCGGTGGATTGAAAGGGTCTCCGGCGAGGAAGCCGATCGTGAAAAGCTCGCCTGAAGACGTCAATGTACGAATGCTACCGGAGTCATTGGGTACTTTTGCTAGTTCCTTGTTGAAATTTTGGACTAGAAGCTGGATACCATCTTTTTAGCGAGGGGAGATCTGCTCCCACGCGTTACCTTCGAAGACTGTGAACCCCGGAATTCGCTCGAAGATATTGAGTCTGGACCAACACAATCTGAGATCCGGGGCTAAAAGAATATCTATTGGATGGAATGCTATCATGAATACTCGTTGCCCTGGTGTATGAGCTTCGGTACAGGAGTATTCATGTCCCCGCGAACCAGTTCCAGGGCACGCAGCTCATCATTGTCATGTTGCGCAATCGTAGCGAACTGAGGTCCGTGTCTTTTGTACCCCAGTTCACCGGGTCTGAGTCGTTTCTTCACGGCCTGCTCCGGGAGCATGTAGGTGTATCTATCAAAGAGTTCACAGCACGAATAGAACAGGAGATCTAACCTATCCATGGAGAGCAGACAATTTGGGAAGAGAAGGATGTCCGAGGCTGGGGACGCGCTGTTACAATACATGCTCTGGGTGACATAACACATCGGTACCTGGCGACGTTGGAATTGAAACCCAATTCGAAGCTATTTTAGGTTCTAGGCGAAATACTGGTCAAACTGCAGCTGCCTGTAAGTCAGGAGAGTAGTTATTCTTTCCAATCCCACACGACTTTGCTATGTTATATCCCCAGTGGTTTCTAATTTGGCTCATAGGGGGTCTGATGATACCCATGGATCAGAACCCCCACACTATTCAGAATAGGCCAGGACACAGTCAACGAGTGAATATATGCCTTAAGAAAGTAATAGATCATATGGTGTGAATGAGGTCTAGTCCTGCTGTACATATCATTGTTTATGTAGGACCTACGGGCCGGTAGTCTGGTGGAAGTTGGAACTTAGGTGATTATGGGGAGCCCCATCAACGGACCTTACAATAGGAACAGTCTAGAGTTAACCGTGCTCGTATATTTGACATGATTGGGGATATGAGTGATTCTAGGATGGACCCCTGAAAGCTCAGGCCTGCGAGGGAATGAGACTAGCTGTTCTTGGATCGCCCAGCACGTGGCCCGAAAGCGTGTTTCGATTCCTTGACGGGTTGGAGCCAAGGCTTGGTTGCTTTTTGCTCGCCCGGTGCCTGAATTCTATTATGCATAATGCCATGATTAAATCTTAAGCCATCTCACCCTTGCCTGCTGTTGGCACCTTGCAACGTGCCCTAACGTTGCCCTCGGATTTGTTCCGGGAATTGCTGCCAAGTTGCAGCAACGCTTGACAATTACAGCCACAATGGGTGGTGAGATGAACCCAGGTGCTCCTCTGCAACATGATGATTTATATCGTCGCGATGGTCTCAGGTCGCTACCGGCGATCTTCCCTGGGGAGTTGCGATGCCTCCATAGTACCATGGAACAGCCGAAGTTATGGCGCCATTTTTCGTCGATGCTGTTCGGGAAGGCTGGTACACTTTCACCCCCCGTGAGAGACGCAATGTGGCCTTCTACATCGTGGGTATTATGATATATAAGTTCGGTCTAGAGGCCTTCAACGGCTCTATTGTGGCCCTTGCGACGAACCGCTATGACTATGATGCGATGCGGACCAACACGCCCGCAAAGACTTTTCAAAGAGTTGGGCTCATGGTGGGCCTCAACCAAGCCTGCCAATGTATCGGCTCCATTTTGATCGCCCCGCTCATTCGGAGATTTCCCTCTCGGCTTGTGCTCTCTAGCGCAGTATTAGTATTCGCCCTCTTCAGTGCCCTTCTTCTCATCATCGATGCAAGCACCGGGGGTACATTCGTACCGGCAAGCTTTCGCGATCACCACCCCGACCATGATTTTCATTACTATGGCCGGTACAATACCGATGGCATGATCCCAGTCTACTGTGTGGCGGGAATTGCCTATGGCATGGTCGAACTGATGCGCCGTGTCATTCCGCGCGATATTGTCGGGGGAAATGTTAGAAAACTGCGTCACCTGGACGCCTTAGTGCATATATTCTATGAGGTCGCCGGCACCAGTGGCGCGTTCTGCACGGCATTAGCCTTGATACCATTTTTTGGAAACAACTATTCTTTTTTGATCACCCCGATCTGTTTTGCCTTCGCCGCTATCTCCTGGTTCTTCCTCACCGACGAAACATTCCGCGGCCACGATCCACCGGTATTAGAACGCCAGCCTCCATACATTAAAGCGGTCACTGTCGGGTTCTGGCTATTTGTTGAGTCCATCTGGACTGGTGCTCGGATCATCTTCACGTCGCGCAAGTTTATCTGGCTGGTTCCAGGGTATTCCGTTGCGTTATATGCTCACCGCTACCTGGAAAATGCCGTGGCACCTGCAATTGCCCGTCGGTACCTGGGTAATGCCGCTTGGTCACAGATTATTGTGGGTGGGTCGAATTTAGGGGAGCTTCTAGGCGCACTGTTCGTTATCCTATTCACGAATTTGGTGACAACACCGGTACCCTGGCTCCGGTTAGATGCCGTCATGCTCCTCATAACATGGTACCTACCATTCTGGCGGCCGCCGATGCAGGTCAGCGCTGCCTGGATGGCAGCCGCTACATTTATTCCAATCTCCTTTGGCTGGGCGGCTGGCGACGTCTCGTTGGCGGCGTACATCCAAGCCACGCTGGCACGAGTCGAATCGAAGACGCAAAATGTCTCTGCGCTGGGGGCGGTAATGGCTTTCCTGTACTCGACATACATTATCCTTTACGCCATCACATCGCCAATCCTTGGAAGCTATATTGACCGCGTATACAGCGACACTGGAGGATCTGAGAACGGGGGCAATATATATGCAGCCATACAAAATATCGCATCGGTGCAATTCACGATAATATCGGGACTGGTGCTAGTATCCACTTTCGTGCCGCGAGGATCGCTGGCGTTCAATCCGAAGATGCTCTATAACGAGAACTTGGACGGAGAAGCGGGTTTGGAACGTGTATCATCCCATGACTTGAAAAAGTAATTCCAACTTTAACTTGCCTGGCGAACTGCCGGATATATATGGTCCTACCTGGGGTGTATCTTTGATCGGACGGCGTTAGGTGCTATTTGGAGTACTCCCTACTTAATAAGTATTACTGCTGGTACACGATACCAATTCTACATTCACAAACATGCCATTTCCTTAAAAGCAACCCAAGTCGCATCACATCATTCATCTATAACCTAGAGCAATTCGTGACCTGGTTATTTGCCACCAGACTCAGCAACATGCAACAATATCCGACGATAGGTAGTCAACGGCGGCGAGCCCGAATCCGTAACCTCCAGAATGAAATGGAACAGATCACAATGCTCGATGCCTGCCTCACAGGTCCTATTGATAACGGGAACCGGCAACTTGGCCTTTTCACCACGCGACCCAAAAGCCGTCACGTTCACATCAGTGGCGCCGTTAATGGTGCTGGGCTCAGGATAGTAAATCCAGTTGAACGTCAACTCATCCCCATCTGGATCCACCGACTCACCAGCATCCACGACCACGTCCGACCCAGCAACCCCATAAACATCGACCGGCTCCAAGCCCGAACTCCCATTAACCTTCACCAGAGGATGGTGGTTCGCCTTGGTCACATCATCTGTCAAGGTCCAGCGCATCCGCGCCGCGAAATCATGCTGATACGCATTCCGCCACCGCCAAATCGTCGCATGATTCGACTTGAAAGTGTCCCCATTAACACCCACCACCTGGTCCTGCACATCCGAGTAATGTCTGAACCCTAGCCCATGCTGATTGGGAGTGACCAGCTGATACCGACCGCCCCATGACCCATACTCGGGGTGCTCCGGTACCCCCAGACCATTCTGAATGAGATAGAGAAACGTCGGGGTGTCACCTTCCATGGTATATGCCACGTCTGGGTAGGCAGCGCCCAAGGTCCCGATTTGGATGTTCTCCTTGATCCAGGCATTGCCTACCAGTGTGCTGTTTGGGCCACCCTTGTCGATGCCGTAGAATTTGTCGCCGGAGATCCCGGCCCAGGTGGACATGTAGTACTGGTTCCAGCCGTGGATGGAGTTGATCCAGAACAAGTCTGGCCACTGCTGGCGGAGCCAGGCACCTGTGTCGTCTTGGTCGGAGATGGTATAGATGCGCAGGTTCTTTCGGAGGGTGGCGGCTTTGTTTGGGGAATTGTCCTTGTGGAGTTTGACGAGGGCTTGCGCGAGGACGTTGGTGCCGCCCCAAGCGAGGACCCAGAGAGGGGAGCTGCTGTTTGTTGTGGCTTGAATGCGGTCCAGGAGGAGTTCGGCCCCGGCACTGAAGGTGGCATTGGGGGCTAGGGCAGCCATACCATAGACCTGTCGGCGTGTTAGTAATGTTGATGTGAAATGGGCAGGGGGGGACTGGGAACCCTAGGGAATATATACCGGAGACCCTGCACGGACTAGACTCCGCATATGTTCTGCGGATGGGTATTGTGAATCCGCTGGGGCATGGTGGTTCAGATTGCCGACAACCTTCTCATATGCATCGATGATGTCGAGCATGGCATCTGGGTCGGTTTCATTCTTGAGCCAGGTTGATGTCGTGGCCACGATGCCTTCCGTCTGGAACTGGTTGCTGTATGTGAGATATCGGACGAGGGACTCAGAATCATCAGGTTCATTGGAGATATCCGAGAGGACGAAGACTCGCGGTTTATTGGGGAAGGAATTGAATGTTATGGCCGAGATGAGAGTGAGGCATGATGCGTATAATATAAATAGACGGGTTATGAGAGCCATTACTGCCAAGTCGGATACTGATCCAAATCTCTGAGTAAATTTTATCCACTTCCCTTAACCACAACCATAGAAACTCCTCTCCAGACAAGGGGAAACATCATCCAATTTATACTGTACATACAACCACCGCAAACCCCAACCCAGCCATGAAACCAGAAAAAAAAAAAAAAAAAAAACAACCCCGGCACTTAATCCCTCCCCCACTCTCCCGAAACCTCCTACCTAGTAAGTATATAGAAAACAACCCCGGGAAAATATCCAAAGAGCCCAAACCTTCCTTTTTCGGACATATCCGGCAGTATTCAAAGGTCCGGGGAAAAATGCGGAGTGCAGAATGCGGGGAAATGTCATGATATCCCCGTCGTCACGGATCGGCAAACTATTCTCTTGCGGAAGGTTTACGCACTCTCGTGGCTCCGATTACCCTATTTGGAAGATTTCCAGGGGCTTGGATGTCGTCATATTGCGATTATCATTAGGTATATTCTGTGTAGTTTGTGTATAGTTATGGGTAAGAGATGCCGTTTTGGGTGGTGCAGGGTGTTAAGTATTGATTTGATTTATTTTATTTTTATTCTATTTTATTCTCTTTTCCTCAATATACTTGTGGAATTTGAAGAGTTCCTTTTCTTGCTTTAGTTTATTTATTTATATTTTTTCGGTTAGTGACTTCCCAGGGTGTTGGAGCATGACTGTGGATGAAGTGCAAGTCGCTGATGAGCGATGGAAAAGAACGTAGAAGATAGCCATGCCAGTCGCAGGATTTAAAGAATCACAGGAAGAAAGGAAAGATCTCTGGGGAGTCGATTTGGGCTCCCCAAAAAAAAGATGAGGGGTGGTTGAGTAGAGCGACAAAGAAGCCTTTCGGTGCCAGTATCACGACTGGTCAGGCACCGAAATTAGAGCAAGACCAACCGTAGGCGGATATACAAAGATGTTGAGGCAGCAGGACGTAGAATTAAACAGCTGTGGCGCTAAGATAGTCGCAAAATGGCGTCAAATACTGTTTCATTGTTCAGTGAAAACAAAAGTCACTATATTAATCTATTCGTCCGCACTTAAAATAAACTTCCAACCCTTAGTTAAACTGCTCCCTAATACAGCGTCAGTGAGACTACACCAATCCCTAAGGGATAGGGATCTATTGGTGAGAATATATAGCGTAAATGTTTAGGAAGCCTCTAATATGAGTCTATATCCTCTTATGCCTCTACGGCTCGAATCCGGCATAAACGAGCAGTCAATCTTGATCGTCCCCAGCTGCCTGTATCCCAGGCTCTGGCTTTGTGTCTCTAAGAGGTCTCTATAATTCTGTTCTCGATTTACTGGCCGCTGGAACAGACGCTTTGAATAACAACTCCACATCGTAAAGCTTCCGGTAAAATCCAGCAAAGTGAATCCAACCAGGATAGCCTAGAGATATAGTTTAACTTTAGATTCTCCTTGAGGAGCTTGGGGCACTAAAGCTTACTTTGGTGGTTTCGGTTGTGTGTGTGCATGGCATGTTCTTACCAACTGATAGCCGCGGGGTAATTGCAGCTTTGTTGAACCTGGCCGCCAAATCGGCCAACCAGGCTGAGAGATGTGTGTTTGAGTTAATAATAATCATGATAATAGGTTAATTAATTAACTATCAGGAAGAATGGTCAGGAGAGAGCGGGGTCGTACGCGAGATTGTATCACCGGCCAACTGCACCAAGCCTGCCTGGTAAAAACGACCCAAAGCCCATCCACACACTGCACCCATTTTTATCCCTCGGTTCAATATCAGTGCTACATGGCCATAACCTATGTCAATTTAGTGGAAGAGTATGTCATCGCATCCCGCACACAATGAGCTGCAGCCAACGGGGACGACCTTACCGTTGGAGCTGGAGTTGGAAGAGGACATTGAAAAAGAACTCCACCACTTTGTTCACCTCAGTCGCATGGGCCACTACACAGAGGCTCATAAATTGTTTGACAACACTCATGGAAAAATGACTATCTTTTCCCCTGTCATCGCGGAGTATGTGGATATGCTACTGGAGCAAGGTAACTACGGACGAGCCGCGGAAGTTTTGGAGGAGCATATGCGGTTAAAAGCGGAAATCTTGGGTCCCGACGAAATGCAGCTTCTGAGAATAATGAAGTCATTGGCAGACATCTACTCAAAAGGCGCGGTAAGGTCAGCCTTGGTGGAGGCCAAAAGAGCATGGTCACATCTAAACTTGGAGGGAAAACAGAGATCGCTAGATCTCAATGAATGTACAGTCTAGTCCACACGAGGCTCTACTTAATAATTAGATTAGCTAGACTGAATAGCTAACGGGAGCCTAGATCCATATATACGAGATTTACATCAATATACTACGAAACCAGGTTCTGACTCGCCTTTATATCCTTTTAAGTATTGAGGAGGCTGCTATGGATTGGCGTGACCTTTACAGCGTTCTAGAGCTGCAGGCAGTCGACTGTGGCAACGTCGTAGAATATGTGCACATTTGGGACCTGTTCACAGCCTGGAATTTAAACCCTAAAAGAGTGTTCCCACACCCCCAGCCAAACTTTCCTTTAGGGTCTGACAGGCATACACTATTATTGTCTCAACACATTTCCCAATCATCCTCAGATCCAAATTGGAGAAATCTGCTTGAAGCAAGCAAGGAATCCCTTTTCGCAGCCGTTTATTCTCCTTGGACCAAGTTCCAATGAAAGTTTGACTTTCGATCCAACACAACAGGACTACCCTTTGCTGTTTGTCTGTGCGAAGGGCGATTCGAAATCGCGATATCCACTGCTACACGAATTTTCATGTAGTGACAGGGAGAAAAACCATTCTTGGATGAGAAAAGAGCATCACCTGAGCAATGAGGATCTCCGCTCCCATGATGATGTTTTTGCACTGCGTAGCGTTGACTTTTACTTGCATTAGCATATGATTCCACTGGCTGGACACAAGTGTCTGGCATATATGATGCGCAGAAGTTCGACCCATAGATCAAATACATATAATTCGATTCGAACAATAAATAAAACTTGCATTGACAGACCAACCATATTATGTAGGATGAGTAAAGTGAGCACCTGTGAGTTCCCTGTTCCAATTACCTTTACTACTTCTGATATAGTGTTCTAGTACCTTTTATTACAATTCAATGGAAATTGACCAAAGCTAAGAATGGAACTAACCTATCTGTTGTTAAAACCGAGATATAACATGCTACATGAAGTTCAGCGTGCTGAAGTCAAGACTAGTGTACTTACATATCGAGTTAGAATGCTCATATAGACATCCGTTCATTATTCATCATGTATGGAAACATGGGAAATTACTTCACCAATTCTATCTCATCGTTGACGTGAGGGATATATATATATATATATATATTGAAGAAAACCGAAGGGAACTATAGGGCTGTATACGAGGAGCCGAGTATGCAGTATGGCTTCTTGGCTGGTTCAATCCTACATTGAACTCGTGACAGGAATTTGAAGAATAATATCAAGAATAAACCAAGGCTAAGAGCATATAGTGATATCTTCACAAAATATTATTTCTGATTTATCGGTCAAGGGTCCTTTTGCCGAAAGGTATTATATTAAAGCTCTACTTATCACGAGCGGTATGTCATATTAGCTGATTGTGAATCACAAGATACATGAGCACAGCACCTGTAGACGGGATAGCAAGTCAATAACAAGTGAAGCTTAACTAGCATGATTCCTCCACAACAGCATACCATTTGAAAATGGCGCCATTTAGACTAATCTAGCCAATCACCATCATCTCCCGATCCTATCGGGACTGCAGCCGCCAAGGTATACTAGTACTTGCCGCTCACATAAACGAGTTAGCTATGAGAGTCACAAGCCTCGCGGAAGTATAGACTGAGCGAGCACCCAAAGACCCTCAACATTGGGCAAGAGGATATTGTGAGTCTGCTTTTGGATATTACCCATTCCAAGTGCCCAAAAGCCCTTGGCGGGAAAAGATCGACCGGGGAACCACAACGGATCGGCCCATGCGTTTAGTTATCTAAACTTTTCATTCGCGGCAGCCGGTGCTAACGAGCCTAATCAGCAAGATGGCCAACCAAACCTGAACTAAGCGCCCATCGTCCCAAGGGATCATGGAGGGCTGCTACCGTGGTAGTTTATGTAGTAGTCAAAGTGCGCGCTGCAGCACACGAAGCCACGTAGTACCTGCTTTTCTGCGATTGGCTGCCTGCAAGCAATACATGACTCGCGCACGCACCAAGAGATCCGTGCGTTTTGGTTTGACTCGCTGTACGGTATAGGGAATTGAAGCCTTGCCAGCCTTGTATTTAGACCACCAGGTTAGGGAGCCGCTCATCCAACGATCAGATGAGTGTTCACTGAATCATGCTGTACCTTATGCAAAGGTCACGTCGATTCTGCCACGTAGCCAGCTTGGGATACACAGTGAGGCGGAAGTGAGGGTATAGGGTCTCGAGGCATCCCTCCATGATGAGGAAAGCGACAAGACTTAAATTGGCCCTATGTGTCGATGTGTGGATATACGAGTATCTAACAGCTCAGTTCTTCAAGTGAACAGGCTGGTACGGAACTTTAGGCGCTGCGATCTATTGACTTTCTTCGATTTCTCTTTGGACTTGTCAACCAGTCAACCAACATGCCTCCTAAACCCTTGACCCCACCATCTACACCCTCACCCAAAGCCCCTGACCAGAATCTCGTGAGAGTGTTTTTTGATCAGTTCAAGTCACTGGCCTCGAATGCGGGACTCGATGCCATTCAAGCCATTTATGATGAAAACGACAAGCTAGCCGAGCAATTGAAATCCAAGGACCGTGACATCGCAAGCCTCAACAAAATGATGAACGACCAAAAAGAGAAGCAAGAAACAGCGCTGGAGGGAATCCTTGAGACTCATGAAAAAGAGAAGGCCAGACATAAAGAAACGAAAGATAACGTGCAGAGGCTTGAAACTACCATCCTTGGCAAGGACAAGCACATTGCTGAGCGGAATAAGGCGGTAGATGACCTTGGGAAGCAGGTGAAGAAGCTCCAGTCTGACAATGAAAAGGAGAGGGACAAGCTGGCACAAGCTCAAAGGAACATCAATGATCTGCAGAAAAGCATTCAAGAAAAAGAAATCACTATTAAGAAGATGAAAGCGGCGGAGGCAGACCTGGAAGGAAAATTCGCTTCTACTAAGAAACGGGTCAGCGATCTTGAAGAGAAGGCCACTGCCACCAACGGATTACTGGAGACAACTCGGGCAAGCCTCAAGAAATTGGAGGGCTATGCTGTTGGATACAGTACTGTAACTGAAGATTCAGCGTAAGTGCGCGTCTACTGTGGGATCATGGGCTTCACCCAACACTCTAACTTCATTTAGGATTGAGAGCTTGTGCAAGCTTTGGAGCTATGCTACAACCGAAATATTTGCCATGTTGAAAAGCGACCTTCCTACCATTACTCTTGGGGTAAGTAGCTGTCATAGTACACCGTTCGACAAACAAGAGTAAGGAGAGGAAGACTGACATAACCCATTGGATTGGAACGGTAGAACACTTCAGCCTGGGAGAAGCTTCGGCGACGTGAACTAGCACAAGTCCACCAAATCCCTCTCCCATGTTCCAACACACTGGCGGCGAAGCAGATGAGGCTTGCCCTCATCTTGGCTATCTTGGCTAGAGAGATTAACAAGCATATCTTCCTGCCAACATACATCGCACCCGTCGATAACGAAAATAACCCATTTCGGCAGGTTCTCAACAACGAAGCGGCTATCAACAGCGAGAAAGAGTCATTTTGCCGATCGATTCTCCTGTCGCTAGATCCACCAACTCAGGAAAGTATATGCTTGGAGGGTATCCAAACTGTGGTGAAGAATGTGTCTGAATACTTATACGAGTTACTCTCAGAAGAGCAGCGCCTCGCTTTCCATAATACTCTGAGCAAGGTTGTACAGAAGGCAGCGGCAGTCTGGAAACCAATTCAGCGCAGCAAGCGCAGATATGAGCTTGACTTTGATCCACCGACCGCCGATGATGAATGCGAGGTCTTCGTGTTTCCAAGTGCCAATAACGCTCCTAAAGAGAAAGGCGCCAACCAAAAGAACCCTAACAAGATCTCCTTGACTGTGTTCCCCCGGGTGTCTATTATCGAAAACAAAGAAATCACCGCATACACTGCTGCTATACAGTTAAGCAGTTCACAATCCCAGTGGGTGGCTGCGGAAAGTGAGATGAATCAAGAACCAGCTACACCTACCTTTGGGCGGAGGTTCATGCTAAAGAAACCTAGTACTCCAAAGAGTACATCCGCTTCAAATAGTGGTTCAAAGAAGGGTAACGGGGCATAGAAGCTTGGATGCTTCATGGCTAAGAAGTGAGTCTTAACTAAGTTGCGGATACTGGAAGATCGACACATGATTCGTATGTCCAAATTGCGTTAAATGACATGTTTGCGTTCAAGTTAGAAGCACCCTTTTGCCGTAGATTAACTTGTAACAACTCATTGCGCGTTCAATGCGGACATAATAGGATTGATAGAAGTCTTAGGATGTAGCAGCGCAAAACCCTTCTGAGAACTAAGAATATTTGATAACATCATTGGGTCGTTTGTTCTCCTTTCTCTAATCCAGAGGAACCCTCGTGTCCAAAAATAGTTCCCCTTACCCTTGGAAGGCTCTGGAAAGAGGACGATACCAGCCTAGAGTTTGATTAGAAACGAAGGCTATCCTAATATAACAAAACCAGCCCTTGGAACACACGCAACATTACAGACATGATCCCAATTTTGCCATCACGCAAGACTGGGTGCTCAATAAAGTCTTCATGCTGAGATTTGACAGTCGTTCTAAAACATAAAGCGAGGACCTGTGAATTCTCCGGCATAATGTCTACCTGGTCAACACAAACATACCCGAATGTATATTGCTTCCTGTACCCCAATGATGCATCGTGATATTAGACGAATCCATTACAGCATTTATGGTAGATGTGCAGACTCCGTTCCAATTGGCACACAAGTCACCAGTCCATACTATCTGATATGGCGTCGTACGTATATTCTTTTGGGTTAGATATCATGATCATGGATGAAAGCGTCATGGATCGCTATGATTCCATAAATGGCATAACGAAACGATCCTCTGTTCAAACCCCACTTACTACGGAGTCATGCTTACCCCACATAATAGGAACGCACCCGTCGCGGCCCGGACCTGGACCCGCTATGGTGGGGCCTGTGTTGAATAGTGCGGTAAAGGCGCTACAAGCCGTAGCTGACTGGCTAATATAATTTTTGGTTTTTACCAGCAACGCGCCTTGCAATACTACTAGTCCGTTTTCTTGAATATGGCAGAAGTGCAACAGGACCAGCAGTACCGGCTTTTACTCCATCTATTCTTCTCGGAAAAACCTTTAGATATCAACGTCACCAGCGACTCCTGTATTACCAACGTTGATGAAGTAGTAAGCAAAAACACCACGTTAAAGCGATTTCACGGTTACAAAGATGAATTTATCAAGACCGTATTTATTGGCAAGGGCAAACAGGAAGTTGCTTTCCGGTTTGAACAGGATGAGAAGGATCTTTGCCTGAAGTTGGTAGGTCTATATCCAACGTCAACCCTATAGACAATCTCTAGTAAACACGCTGCAATTGTTTCAGGACAATATCCCATTGCCATCAAGCGAGCTAATGAATGAATGAGAAATGCTTCTTAGAGCAAGGAAAGAAAAAAGAAGAAAAAAAGAAAAAAGGAAGAAAGACAAGAGAAGGAAGTATCTTCGGCATACGCTAACGCAATAGTGGATCGAAAGTTTCCTAGCGAGCTAGGCAAGAGAATCGTCACCGGAATAATTTATTGGCTAATGAGCGCTTGATGAGCCTCTTCTTTTACATGTTCCATACTCGCATATTTGCCACGCCAGCACTTCTGGATTATTTTGCCACATAGAACATCATCAACATTTGGAAATGAATCTGGTTCCGGCCAACAGAGGTCAGGGTTTTCCGGGCTGAAGAAATAGTATTTATGGACCCGCCAGGATGAAATGGAGTAGAGCACCCAACCAAGATGAAGGATCTCAATCTGAACATTCAAGTCATTTTCATCTACCGAAGTAATATCGATATCAAGTGGTAATAAAATGGACTGTCCGAAATCTGCAAGTTTAAGCTGCTCATCTAGAATTAAAATATTGCGAAGGGCAATATCATCCACAAATACGTTGCGAGAGTGGACATGTGCAAGAGTGTCAATGAGACTGGACATCCAGCGGATTTTCAGGGGGTCCTCCCGCTCGGGACATGTTTCTAGATAAGACTCTAGATTTCCCTGTGCAAGGGCTAACTCAATCCCATACGTGGATGTTTGGAAGTATGGAATAATCCCTTTATGGCTGCCCAGGCGTTCAAAGACCTGGATCTCATTCTCTAGAGTTTGCTGGTTGACGTTGTTCATGTATTCCACATCCTCGCGGTCTGGGAGGTCCCCAGGTTGATATTGCTTGACTTTCTTAACTGCACGGTCTTCCCCCATCTGAAGAACAATCCCAGTCATCCCATTCCCAATTACTGGGAGACCAAGATAGGGATCATGAGAAAATGGAGAAGGTTGAGCATGGAGTGATGATGATCCAGCTTCGGCTTTGTTTGTTTCAAGGGGTGGTGTTTCCTCGAGCCGTATTTTGGGACTATTCTAGAAAAAAAAAAATAACTTAGCCATAGAGGACAACGACAATCTCAATACAGCTTACCGTTGACTGGTCCGACTCCTGAGTTACGGAAGGCCAAACGATATTATAGAACCAGGTGCGGATTATAGAGAGAACCATAATTATTAGGGCGAGTGCAGAATAAGAATATACAAGAAAGGGAGGAAGAATGTGCGCAAAACAAATAGTAGGAGAAACGGCGGGAAGCAACTTAGGGATGGTTGGGCTCCATCCCTAGCTAACTGGTCCTGCGCGTCTATAGGCTTGAAGTTGACGAGGCTGAGAACTGATAAATTTAATAAAAGTCTTGGGTCGATAACGGGACCGGAAAAACCCTCGGCGTGGTTCAGAGCAAAATTACAGTAAAATATTGCTCCTCGTACAACTACTCTTTATACTCCCTGATTCCCTCGGATCACCCTTGCCTTGTGATAGTGTTGAGAATATTATTACCTGGGGAGAGACCTGCCAACTATGCTATATTGAGCAAGAAAAGAGCGAACTATTTTAAAGCTTGGCCTCAAGTTAAGGATAGCAGAGGAGAATTCAAGTAAAGCACAAAAATACATTGCAAATAAGCATCCTCCCTCCCAGTACGCTGGCCCCTGTTTACTCTTCTTAGAACCATTACTTCTTGCGACAACCTGGACAGAGATATTGGCGGTTTGTGCTTGATCCTTTGGATGTAGGTGTAGGAGGGTCAGGACACCATGATGGGGGTGACCGCTGTTCCGCTACTGGACACATCCGGGGAGTTGGCTCTTTAGGGATATCGATAGTATGCTTGCATTTGGAAAAGTACACGGGGGCAGGGCTTTCCATGAAGCACATGTTTGGAGAAGCGTAAGGACGGCTGCGGATTCCTGAAGACCATGAATCAGCCAAGCGTATGATGATAAGTTAGGAAAAGTAACAGACTAACGCAGTTATGAAGTCTCGGTACATATATAACTTTAGCAGCTTGTCGATGATTTGGAAGGGTAGCTGTTGTTCATTCCAAGATGTTTTAACCATTTTAAAGTCGGTTCGCTTACGCCAGCCTTGCGCAACAGACTGTCTCTGCATAGAAGGAGGGGTAAAAGTACAGGGCACTCGTGGTTGGGCACGAAAAACCATTCTATTGGGCGATAGGTGACTAGAGAAGCATCACCAACTAAATGGCCTGTCGAATCTATGCAATCAAGAAAGAAAATTTTCAGCACATACTCAGAGTGTTGGCTGGTAAAGGTGGGGGGTGTATTCCTAGCAGATCTGGTTAGATTCTAGATATTCAAGTAACGCCTAACAGTAAACCATCGAGAAAGAATCCCAACAAGGGATAGAATCTTTGTGGATACATAGCGATTCACACTCCAGAGATATTTTCACCCTAACACTAAGTAGATAACACACGGATGCTAAATTATAGGTAAAAAGCGTTGCCGTAAACGGCCGCGAAAGTGCTTATTTCTGGCCTCGATTTTACAGTTCGTGGTTCGACTTATAATATACTTGATGCTGTTACATTGTTGATCGTGGAGGTTGTCATGGTGTAGACTGAGACTAGAGTAAATGGAGGGTGTTTTCTTCGCTTCTTAAGTGGGCTAATAAATAGAGCTGCGATATTGAACTTTTGGCTAAAAATAAACTATGTAATTCTTGCGATTCCTCTGGATTTGAAGAAAGCCCTAACTGGAGAAAAGGAGCTTCTCGAGCTATGTAGCCACTCAAACACCACCAACGCCGAGTTCTTGTGAGCTACCGCTGTTCATATTTCCCCCATATACTATCATACGGTTCATACTATCCAGAGCAAGCCCCCCATGTACTCCTAAGAGTCAGCCGACGTGTTCCTGTGGAGCGGAACTTAAAATTGTTGGGCCGTCCAGATGATGACGAAATCGAACCTTATCCATTTATATTCCACCCAAGAGTCCAGCCACATACTTAATATAACATGTCCTGCTGCTATAGGATACCTCTATCCCTAAGCAACAACCTAGTAAATCTGCTGGGATAGACCCTGGCACAAATGCTCCCCGATTGAAATTAGCCCATCTCAACCCATTGAAAGGAATTTACCACAGAACCCCTCAAAATGCCCCGACTAATCGACCACGAACCCAACACGCGCATAAAACCCATGCGCATTCTCTGCCTGGGCCTAACCCGAACCGGAACAAACTGTAACATCCACCTACCACCATCCACAATCATACGGACACTAATACAAAGCTACAGCCCTAGTCGTGGCCCTTCGCAAACTAGGCTACACGCCCTACCACGGCTCGGAATGTTTCAAGTCCCCACCTCGCGACTTCAACCTCTGGATCGAGGCTCTAACATGTAACTTCTTCAACCCGGACCCGAAGAATATTCCTCGTTACGGCCGCGACGAATTCGACCGCCTCATCGGGCATTACGACGCCGTCCTCGACATCCCGGCCTCGATGTTCTGGGGAGATCTCATCCACGCATACCCGGATGCTAAGGTAATCCTCACAACCCGAGATTTTGATTCCTGGTGGGAGTCCATGGACAAGACTCTATTTAGATTCATACGGATGCCGTTCTTTCGGTATTGGAAGTATTTTGACCATAAAGAGATTGGGCCGTTATATAGAATGTCCGAGCTTGTTTGGAGGGTTTTTTGTGGGAATTGCTATGATAAAGGGATTTGTGAACAGGCATTTCAGGAGCATTATCGAAGGGTAATGGAGGCTATTCCGGAGGAGAGGAGGTTGGAGTTGAAGGTTGGGAGGGATGGGTGGGAGGTGCTTTGTCCGTTTCTAGGGGTGGAAGTTCCTGCAGAAGAGTGGCCGAGGGAGTATCCTGCGAGGGCTCTTAATGAACATGTAGATATGGCTTTTTGGGGGGCTGTTAGGACGATTATTTGGTGGGTGGCATTGGGTATGATGGTTGTTTTGGGTGCGCTTTGGGTGAGAGAGTATGCTGGGAGGTACCATGATGAGATATGATTGTTCGATGGAGTATATGTGTTTAGCTAGTTCTAGCAGAAGGCTATCGATCGCGATGCATCGGTGCCACTTACTCATCATTATGCAGGGAGGTCGAAGCAGAAATGTGGCTTTTTCGCTGGTCAAATCATCCCATTGGAATGCCTTATATTGTCCTGATACCTAAGGTGTCCTTGTAGGGCAATTCATAGCGCGATTCACTGATTGACATGCAGTTTAGTGCTTACCATGTCATAGAAAACGAGCCTGCAGGTGAGAATCTACGTATAGTTTGAGACGAGGGGTTGGGGATCAGAACGATACTGAGCTATAGGTATGATGCGAACTGGTGAGCCAAGAGGGATGAACAAGATTCGTGGCTGTGATTGGACTTTCGCCAGCTACTATACATACACAATTTGTATTTTTATAAACCCAGAGGTCTCTGTCTGGGCCTGATATACGAAAGCAAATCGCAGGTGACCGACCCAAACCCTAAACGGCTATGCCATTAGGCCAGTCCCAACCGAAGAGTAGATATACAAATTATAGAACCTGGTCATGTATCTTTTGTGTCGATCTAAAATAGTGCCCACAAATGTATACCTTGGTATAGATTAATGATGTATCTACAAGAGTCTCCTTCGTTTAGCACGCCATCATGACAGAGTGTGGTCATGTAAAACGAAGATAAATAACCGGTTGGAGCGCACTTTTTGTGAGGAGGGGTTATCAGCAATTGTTACGAGCCATGGACGAATTGAAGTGTTAGATGAGACCTTTAGTCTAGAAGTAGTGTCAGACTAATGCACGTACGCAGCACAGCCTCATGATGCAAGCTACTATAAGCACGATGAAGTCCCACGAGCAGGTAATCCTCCGACAAAGAAAGATACAGCATGAGCACAGTACACTTCGACTATATAATTGTGGGCGGAGGCCTCGCAGGCTCCGTCGTTGCAAGTCGACTACTCAATGCTGATAAGTCATTGAATATCCTTCTGGTCGAGGCCGGCGTTGATGCCTCTGACAACACTTTAATCCCTCACGCAAACAATACTGCATTTCTCATCGGATGCGAGCTCGACTGGGGATTCGTTACGACGCCACAGAAGAACCTTGAGGGTCGCAGGATTGGAAACCCGGCGGGGAAATGCCTTGGCGGAGGAACAGCAATCAACAGCTGTAAGCGCGGTGATTAGTACCGATTATGTATCCTCAGACTGACAAATCTTCCCCAGGTGGATGGATCCGTGGTGATCGTAGCGATTATGACAGGTGGGCTGAGATTGTTGGGGACCAAAGCTACAGCTACAATTCTATGCTCCATTATTTTATTGCTACGGAGAAATACACCGACGGAAGTCAAGCTAGTGGACAACATGGATCCGACGGTCCGCTACATGTTGCCGCAGTCTCTTCGACCGGTCGCAAATATCCACTGCGCGAGACATTAGCACAGGCATGGGACGAGAACCATGTCAGTGCCCTGCCGGACTTGGATGGAAACAGAGGTAGTCCTCAAGGTCGGGCAGAGCTCGCAGAGGATCGTCGTGACGGACTCCGTCAGTTGGCTAGCGCTGCCTATCCACTCGAAGGTGTCCAGGTCATGACCAATACACTTGTGAGGCGCATTATTACAACATCAGAAGACGATACACCGAAAGCTATCGGAATTGAAACAACAAGCGGCGAAAAATACTATGGCAGGGAGATCATAGTCTCTGCGGGAGCATACCGCACCCCACAGCTCTTGATACTCTCTGGAATCGGCCCAAGAGACGTATTGCCACAGCACGATATCCCAGCCGTAGTTGATGCACCAGACGTTGGGCAAAATCTCTACGATCATCTAGAGCTCGCACAATATTGGAAGCTCAAGAACCCGTCCAAAGGGTATGCTCTTGGATCCGACAACCCTCTCTTTGCCAAACCCGAATTCGGACTGGGGGTACCCGTCGACTGGGTTGTCACCACCAGCGTCCCCAAAGATGGTTTGATAGAGGCAATAGCAGAGGATGAAGGGTGTTCACCATCAGCAGATCACCCTCTCCTGAAGGCCGAGCGATCTATCCTAGAGTACATCACGTTATACGCCGCTGGTAGTGCTTCAGACCCGGTCATACCCGTAGACGGTACCCACATATGTATGACCATCGTTGACCTACTGCCGACCTCGAAAGGACACGTTACCATCAATTCGACGGACCCGGCCGATCCGCCTGTAATCGACCCCCACTACTTGTCAACCGAGGTGGATCGCTACGCCTGGCGCACGGGGCTGCGCACTGCCGCTCGACTATTTTTGGGGACCGATTCAGGGAAATCATTCATCGATCAGGAAACCCCACCGGATGGGTTTGAGCCAATCAACTTGAACTCTAGTGATGAGTATTTGGATGCTAGGGCTCGGCATGGAGCGTTGTATGTCCAGACCCGAGTCTTTCATATGGTCCTAACTAACGGATGTAGTTCTACGTACCACCCAATGGGGACATGCTCGATGGGCAAAGTCGTCGACAACAAGTTCCGGGTCCACGGAATATCCAACCTGCGGGTTGTTGACGCCAGCGTGATTCCAACCCCAATCGCGGGACATATCCAGGCTGCGTTGTATGCCATGGCAGTGAAGGCGGCGGATGTAATCGCCGGCAAGGTATGATTATATTTTACCTATATTGAATGGGCAGCTCTTTCCACTATTTAACTTCCCACGACAATGTAATTATGTGGGAACGCCGCTAGGGCCACCCGAGTTTATATAGTTGAAATTGAATGTCAACGCGTAGGCCGGATGATACTAGTATCAGTGAACAGGCCCGAAAGGCTCGGAAGCCTCAATAAGCAAGTATGAGAATTGTCTTCTGAATTTTGAGCATGATTCAGTCCAGTAAT